GGGACAACAAGAGTGAGCCCAAGGCCAGCCCAAACTTCACAGCAAGACCCTGTTTCAAGAAAAACAAAACAAAAAACCAAAACATAATCAGTCATTAAAACAACAAAAAAAGGATGGCCATTGTTTACAGATGGTTCTGAATGCTATGCTAGCATCAGCAGCAATTAGGCAACTTCAGCATTATAATCTATTTCCAGGACATCCCTCATGGGCAGAGGTGAGGAGAAATATGGACAGTGGGTAAAACTTTGGGCAGTGCATTGATTAGCTTATTTTGCCTGGGATGAATAATGCACAGATATGTGACTATAAACTGACTCCTGGGCTGTAGTCAACTGTCTGGTTGGGTTTTCAGGAACTTGCAGGAACATAACTGGAAAAATTTTGACAATGATGTTTTGAGATGAGGTATCAGGATAGACCTAATTAAATGGGCAAAGGTTTTAAAAATAGTTGTATTCCATGAACACTCACCAAAATTGATGCTCCACAAAGGACTTTAACAGTCAAGACGATAGGAAGACCCATTCTTCAGACAATACTCAACTTCTCATTTAAACTATCCTTAGTATTGCCCAATGGGCTCATGAAGTGATCATTTCATCAGGGTGGAGGATATGCGTGTTTTGCAACACAGATTTCCACTCACAAAGCCTGGTCTGACCACAAACACTACTAAATGACTAATCTGCCAGCAGCAGAGACAGACACTGACTCCTAAATATGGCTTTTGCTTGGGTGATCAGCTCTTTTTTTTAAAAATCACATACTTCAGAACTGAGATAATTAGTATAAAACTGAAACAGCTTTAGATCTATAATAAAAATCCAAGTTTGGGGAAGAGAAAACTTTAAAACAGCAGCTGATTTGGTGGGTAGGAGGGGACAGAGGGCAGGTGGTCAGACAGTTGGGACTGGGGAAGGGTAACTAACCACTGTCAAACCAGTGTAAGCTTCTTTGTTTCTCATGGGAAACATTTTATACACCTCAATCCATCTGTGTCCAGAGATGCCTGTTCCATCATTTTCTGTCTTCTCTTGGTGGTGGTCTTACAATATAATATTGCATTTCTTGAATTTTTGCCCCGTGTAGAAAATTTAAGTTATCTCGAACACTTTCTTCAGCTCCATGATAAGCTCACTGTTCTGCATCTCATTTCGGAACCAGTCTTTGAGAGCGCTGATTAACTTCTGGCAGATCTTACTGATTAGAATATCTATAGCTTAAAAATGTCTCCCAAACATCTCGGGAAACTCACCAGGGATTGGTCCTTTTTTTTGCAGTATCTTCTTGTTTGTGGTTTATTTCAATATTTGCTACTATTCCAATGTCAACAAAGTTCTTGCTGGGGACATACATACATGTCCTTTGTTTCACCTGGCCTGCTTCCACTGTCACCCCTATCAATATTGGATCTCGAGAATAGAAAACATACTGAGGATTTTGGTATTGCAGTGAAATGCTGCTAAAGAGCTTAAATTCTTGGTGTTTCTATTTCTTGTGGTCTTGTCTGTATTTTGTAAAAGCATCTTATAAGTGATAAATAATTTCAGCACTAAAAATTCTAACTCTTAAACTGTCATTTCTTGTGCATCCTGTTCAATTCTCACATTGAAGGCCAAAATGACTGCATTTTGAGGGTCAAAAAGCCAGCATCTGGGGGCAGGGGAGATGCCTTGGTAGAACAAACGCTTCCCTGGCAAGCGCAAGGGCCTCAGTTCAATCCCCGGTTCCGCCAAAACAAAACAAAACAAAACAAACAAACAAACCCAAAAACAAAAACAAAAACACCCCAGCATCACAGAAGCCTTTATGACATCTTTTTTATGCACAGGGCCAATGTTGATTCCTGAGCAGGGTACTTCTTAGGTTTTCAAAAATTCAAGAACTTCCAGAGCACCCAGGGTAGAAGCCTGCACATAGACACCCTTTTCTTTCAGTTTGACAGCAAAACAGAGTTAAGAAACGATAACTTGAACATAGTAAAACTAAGTACAGAAAGTACTTAGTTTAGAGTCTGCTTTAACTCACAGACCAATTCATCTTTGAAAACAAGAATTTCATCTTTGTAAGCTACCAGGAGGGGTAAACCAGGCAAAGTTTTCTCCAGGTCTTTGCCGAGAATCTTTACTCCCTGTGCTGCTTCTCTTTCTTTATGCTTTTCATACTGGTTCTTCACTCACAATTCCTTCATAGGAGGAGGTAACAGCAGGCCATGGATCTGAGTGACAACGGGCCCTTCTACTCCAGGACTGATGATGGGGTCCCCTTCCTTCAAATAACCACTGATCAATATGACATCTACAGTGGTGCCCACTCCTGGGAGAGCTTTAACCTCCATCATTTGCACTCACAGGTCTTCACAGTGTGCAGATCCCCTGCTCAACATGGTCTGAGTTAACCCAACAAGCAGGCACATCAAGCTTCTCATGCCATCACCAGTACGTGCAGAGGTAGGTACCAAGGACACAAAAGTGCAAGGATCTTTGTTCTCATAAAACAAAGCAGCATTCAAACCCTGCTGTGCAAATTTCACAGTAATAGCCTTTGCTTGCTCCTCAAATTCATCTTTTGTATTCTTTTTCTGATTCTTTAAAGTGGCAGCTACATCAGAGTCAGGACTCTTTTTCCAATCATGTAACCATGCATAATATCAGCTAAAATGGCAATATCACGAAGAGAGCTTCCTCTATTTCTAAGGTTACTGAAAGACTCCTGTTCAGGAGTATCAATAATCAGCATTCCTGGAATTTATATGTTCCATCAAAATGTTTGATCATCTTAGTCTGTTCATTAATAGCTTCAAGGGGAACATTTGTGGTCTCAATTTACTGTGATACCACCGGCTTCACCATCTTGGACATGTGTACGTCAGAGCTTATCTCGAATTTTTGTCTTCCTTGTTTCCACATAGCTAGTACACAAATAATAGGGGATCTTAGCTTTTCTGTACTTAGTTTTACTATGTTCAAGTTATCGTTTCTTAACTCTGTTTTGCTTTGTCATAAGCCTGCTCTTCTTTCATTCAATCATCATTAGACTCGTTCTCAGAGTTTGAGCTTCTTTCTTTGGTTTGCTTTGCATCTGTTTTCCCTGAATCTTTCTCAATCTTTTCATTGTCTTCATTCCCTTCACGGCTTCACTCTCTCCTTCCTCTTCCTCACTCCTCTCCTCTTCTTTAGGATTTTCTTTTAATTCTATATGAACTATGTTGCCTTCTTCTTCCCTGTCCTCATCACTGGCCATGGCTTCCCAACCATCCAATCTGCCATCCTTACTTTCTTTTTCTTCTTTTGAGTCAACAGGAGGTGGTGTGTCTTCTTTCTCTATAAACATCTTGTTCCAGTAGATACTGACTCATAGTTTAGTATACTGCATGATATCTTTTTACACACAAGCCATGATCCATCTGATCTGTCACAAGTAGATACAGCTGTGTGATCTATTTTTTGTGAAAGTGTAGAAAAATTAATACAAAAATCACAAGTCACATCAATATAAGCATAGAGAGTAAAATGAAGGTAAGAAAACTGTATATGAATCATAATATTGACCCCAACACAAGAGCAAAACAGGTGAATTTATGCATTTGATATAACTGTCTTGATATATGTAGGTATTTTATTAGGATCCAAAAGAAAACATTTGGTTACTTATCAGTTGTGAGAACAAATGAACTTTTCAAAAATATAAATTCACATGCCTCTAAATATGTACACATATGTAACATTAATGAAAAAAGAACTTTTTTTCACAGAATGTGAAGTATGTTCACCAAAAAGTATTTTCTTTTTTGATTTTAAACCAAAACAAGTGAGCTCATCAATTAAAACACAATGAATGAGTTACTTTTTAGTATCCTGTACCTCCCTTTGTAAAAATCAAAATTAAAGCTACATAAGTAATAACCATACTTGGAAGTGAGGATTACATTTCAATTTACTTTGTTTAAGTAGATGATAGTATATATTAAATTTAAAGACAATAGCTTCCACAAAGATATATTATTTCAATGTTTTTATAATAAAGACCACAGATATATAACTGAGATATTTACACATGATTTATTAAAGAACAAAGAAGGAATGCATTCTAAGATATATCCATCTTAGGATATATTTTCTGGAAAAAAATTGTGAGGGAATAATAAACTCAAAACTTTCAATAAAATTACACAGGCTTCTTACAATATGAGAGCTTTTCACAGGATTTTCAAAACAGGCTTAAATATACAGGGTTTTCCTCCAGTGACTACTTTGATGTAGTTGGTAAAAGCTACTCATTGAATGTTTTCCCCACATTCTCATATACACAGCTTCAAATCACTGAGATCTATGCATATGAGGATTCACTATCAAACCTATTTCCCCATAGTTTACTTGTATAGGCTTACTCTCCTGTGTGAGTTCATGTCTCTGACAACATTTATGTGTAGAGACCCCCTTCCCATATTTCATACAAAAGGTTAATTCCCAGTGCTAGTTCCATCACTTCTTTCGAAACATGTGTGTAGTGAATGCCTCCCTTTCTTGCCTGAACAGATAAGGTTTGTCTTCAGTTATGAGCTCTTTAATGTATCTGACAGTAATGATATGTAGTGACTTGTTTCCTACAATGCTTACATACAGTTTCTCTGTAATGTGAATTCTTTTATGTACTTTAAGATTATTTTGTTGGCTGAAAGTTTTTTCCACATTACTTGTATGTACAGGGTTTCTCTCCAGTGTGGTATTCTTTCATGTATTTTATAACACATCTGTCTAGCCAATGCTCTTCCATATTCTCAGATACGTAGTTTCTCACCAGTGTGATTTCTTTTATGAATTTTACAATAACAGTGTAGTAAATGCTTTCCTACATGGCTCACATGTGCAGGCTTTTCTCACCTGTGGGTTTATGTGTATCTATGCACTACAGACTCATCAGCAAATCCTTTTCCACATTGCTTATGCATGTAGGGTTTCGCCCCAGAATGAATTTTTTCATGTATTTTAAATAACTCAGTGTAGTGAATATTTTTCCACATTTCTCACATACAGTTTCTCATCAGTGTGATTTTTTTCATGTATTTTATAATAACTCAGTGTAGTAAATGTTTTCCCACATTGCTTACATACATAGGGTTTCTCACCAGTGTGATACCTTTGATGTATTTTATAATAACTCAGGGTAGTGAATGTTTTCCCACATTTCTCACATATAAAGGTTTTCCCAACTGTGTGGATTTGTTTATGTCTATGAAATACAGTCTTATCAGAAAATACTTTCAAACATTTTTTGCATATATATAGTTTCTTAGCATTGTGAATTCCTTCATGTATTTTACAATAACTCAGTGTATTGAATGCTTTTCCACATTTCTCACATACATATGGTTTCTCACCAGTGTGATTTCTTTCATGTGTTTTACAATTACTGAGTGCAGCGAATGCTTTCCCACATTGCTTACACGCATAGGGTTTCTCACCAGTGTGAATTCTTTCATGTATTTTATAGTAACTCAGTGTAGTAAATGCTTTCCCACATTTCTCACATACATATTTTTTCTCGCCAGTGTGATTTCTTTCATGTATTTTACAATAACTCAGAGTAGTGAATGCTTTCCCACATTGTGTGCATGTATAGGGTTTTTCCCCATTGTGACGTCTTTCATGATTTCTACAATTATTCATTGTAGTGAATGCTTTTCCACACTGCTTACATATATAGGCTTTCTCACTAGTGTGAGTTTGTTCATGTCTGCAAAATGCAGATTTATCAGCAAATCCTTTTCCACATTTCTCACACACATATGGTTTCTCACCATTGTGACTTCTTTCATGATTTTTATGATGACTCAATTTAGTGAATGCTTTCCCACACTGCTTACATGCGTAGGGTTTCTCACCAGTGTGAATTCTTTCATGTATTTTATAATAACTCAGTGTAGTGAATGCTTTCCCACATTTCTCACATATATGCAGTTTCTCACCAGTGTGACTTCTTTCATGTACTTTACAATAACTCAGTGTAGTGAATGCTTTCCCACATTGTTTACATATATAGGGCTTCTCACCTGTGTGGATTCGTTTATGTCTATAAAATGCAGACTTATCAGCAAATCCTTTTCCACACTGCTTACATACATAGGGTTTCTCCCCAGTGTGAATTCTTTCATGAATTTTCCAGTAACTCAGTGTAGTAAATGCTTTTCCACATTTCTCACATATATACGGTTTCTCACCAGTGTGATTTCTTTCATGTATTTTACAATAACTCAGTGTAGTGAATGCTTTCCCACATTGCTTACATGAATAGGGTTTCTCTCCAGTGTGACTTCTTTCATGTTTTTTATGATTACTCAGTTTAGTGAAAGCTTTCCCACAATGCTTACATATATGGGCTTTCTTACCTGTGTGAGTTTGTTTATGCCTATGAAATACAGACTTATCATCAAATACTTTTCCACATTGCTTACATATATAAGGTTTCTTCCTAGTATGAATACTTTTATGGTTTTTAATATTTCTGGGAGTGCTGGAGCCTTTGGCTCTTTTCTTGGATACAAAGTTCTCTACTCCAGGGTGAGTTCTAGTCTTAAATTCACAGTAAGCTTTCCTGCATTGCTTATGTTGATAGGGTTTCTCTCCAGGCTTTCCACTTGCATGCTTCTGAAAGGACTGGAAATCACTACAAGTTTTTCCATGTTCATTACAATTATACAGTTTCTCATCAAATCCCACATACTCACGTGGCTTCAGTCCATTGTAAGGTAAAATGGACATGTTTAAGGATGAATACCAAATCAGGGGCTTTCTACTTGCAAGGCTTTCAGCTGGCTTCGGAGCAGCCTGTTGCACTGCCATATTGTCATCTGAAGCCCAAAGGAATATTTCTCCATCTTGATTCCAAGCTTTATTTTGATAGACTTTTGCTACCTTTTTATTTCTTTAAAGCAAAAAAGAACAAAAGCATCAGTCACAATAAAAAGCTTCACATCAGTAATTTACCAGGCTAAGCTCTGTCTTGATGTTGACAAAGAAATTTTGAGAATGAAAAACTAAATGCCTTGGAGACTTGCTTCAAAAAGAGGAAGTTTTCCATTTCCCAAAGGATCTCATTCATTTGGAAATGTTATCACTTTCATGTTTTTTTTTTTTTTAAGAGAATTTAAAAATAGTAAAATAAAAGAAATAAAAACCATACAGAATTTCACTAAACAAAAACGATAGGAATTCAACAATGATAGTTACATTGTACTTTGTCATTTTCAGATTAGTTGTTCAGATTACCAGGTACAAACATGCAAATTTGGTGAAAAAATTATAAAAAATTTAAAAAGAGAGAAAACATATTTGAGCATTAACTGCTCCTTTCAATAGACTGGTAGATATTGGCAATACAGTTATCCAAACTATCCTATAAATATACATATGTATTTCTTTTTCTCTTCCTTGTTTGTTTTCTCCTTTGCATCACCCCAGTACACTGAGATATGTTTGCAGTACATAACGTCTAGTTTCACTGGGGTCACTGATACATATGTGTATCACAACTTCATCATTTTTACACCCTTTTCCTATCTATTTCCTCTTCTCTCCTTACCCTGGTTATCTACTCTATCTCCAGCAAGTTAGTCTTTGTCTTTAATTTTACACCCTGATTTACATTTCAGTATCTCATACCAATGAAGATATGAAAATTCATGCGTCTGACTGCTGTCACTTAACATTATGAGATGGAGGACATTCTACTTGTTTTATATTTGCCAAAAGATATAATTTTCTTTATGGCAGCATAGCCTATAATCTCCATTGCTGAGATTAAACAAGTGTCTTAGAAATACTCTTCTAGAATATTTTTCTATTTGACACGGATTCCTACTGAGCTTCTTTGATCAGGATGAACGTCATGTTGTCATCCTTCTAGCTCAGCTTGCAAGCACGCTGGGATTATAAGAAGGCATCAGCATGTTCAGTCTATCCCACCTTCTTTTTATCCATGCATAAATGATGGACCTCTAAGCTCTTGCAAGAGATCAGGTAGATAGTGATTTCCTGAAATTAGCTATTGTGAACAACATGCATACACTGCTCTGAGCATGAGTATACACGTACCACTGACAGGATAACTGAAAATCACTTCAAAATCTATATAGGGACGTTTAACTGAATGAAATGCAAATTTCTATTTTTACTCTTGATGCCCTCTTTTTTTTTTTTTTTTTTTGGTGGAACTGGGGATTGAACTCAGGCCCTTGCGCTTGCCAGGGGAGCGCTTATTCCACTGAGCCATCTCCCCAGCCCTATTTTTACTCTTGAAACATCTCTAAGCTAGTGATTCTATTTTATATTCCTATGTGTAAGGGTGTATTCTAAGAATTTTACTATCTAATTCTCTGCAAAGTGCTTTTTTACTGGGGGGAGGAAGGCTTTTTTTCAAAACATTTTTACATCACTAGGATTCAGTTGCATTTTGAGTATTGCTTCCTGGCAATAGGGTTTTGATAATGTATGTCACAGACACACACACACACACACACACAGTTAGCTATCTTGAAGATGAGTTCATGTCAAATTGCCAAATTTATGCTTTTTTTTTTTTGTATTTAGTACAGGGTCTACAGGGTCTCACTACGTAGAATGGACTCATAGTGATCCTCCTATGTTGTCTCCCCAGCGCTGGGATTACAGGCACATGCCACCATGCCCAGTCTCGATCGCAGGCTTAGCGGGCCAGCATGGCACGTGGGGGTGAGGGTTGGGGGGGTGATGGGATTGAATACTGGCCCCTGCATCTGCCTAAGCAGGTGCTTTAATCTGCTGAGCTATTTGGCCAGCCCTGCCAAATTTATACTTTAAATAAACTTAACCATGGCCTCATTCATAGATTTTCTTTGCTTGTAATATTTCAGCTTACTCACTGACTCAACAAATATTAATGTTACTTATAAATGCAAATTACCTTGAGGAATTTTTGTATTCTTCTTCAATTTGTAGGTTGTCCCAGGTTTTTCCTAAATTGTAACCACAGAAATATAAGATGTCACCATATCATTCTATCAAAATTAGAAGACAGCAGTTTGATGTATGTATCATGTAAATATGCCTGAGATATTCTTAAATGTTTTCTCATTCTATTTGGCAAATCTGCATCAATCAGCAAGAACCAACGCTCTTCCCTTGTACACATGAGCAAATGTCATCCTTACCTACAGCAGTCACATTCCTAAACGTTTCCCACATCACTTCTCTGTAGAGCTTCTTCTGAGATGGATTCAGCACAGCCCACTCCTCCAGGGTGAAGTTCACAAGCACATCCTCCAGGGTCACTGCCTCCTAAACAATCACATGTACATATTCTGAAAGAGGGTTCAGATTCACCCCTTCGGATAGCTGAACTCCTCTTGTAAAATCAGAATTGAAGCCAATTCATTCAAATATTAACTTCACGCCTTAAGCAACAAACATATGCACGTATTTTCACACAGCAATTCTGATGCTAGATTCAAACTCTTACAGCAACAACAGAATACAACTGGTGGCCCAGTAGGGTCACAGAAATTTAATTTATGCACTGTTTCTAAAATAGAGCTCACTGTGTGCCTGAAAATCACCATCCACAAAACACAGGAGCAAATAGATATCTAATGAATGGTTCTGATTGGCCACAGAAGATAACTGTTTTCAAATCTAAACCTTCATACACCTAAGTCATTCTTTCTTGGATGGTCTCTGGCTGCATTTTGAAATTTGAATCTAGTTTCATAGAAAAAAACCTAATGGAACACTAAATAAATTTTATGAATAATAATGAAAATGCTAATAGAAAAACAGTATTATTAGCTCAAATCCACGAAACATGAATATAAAGGTAGGGTGGCATATTGTCTTATAACTCAGTGTCACCAAATGATCACCTTGCACTCAGATACAAGAAATTCTAGGAGGCTGTAAGAGACATTAATGAAGGGGGAAAAAGGGAATAAAACACATTAAAAAATGAAGAATGTGGTCAGTAGAGCACTCCAGGCTGTCTGTGGGGTCCTTGGCCTGTTTCTGCTGGGACTCCCTTCTTCACAGGTAGAGATGGCGCTTGTCAAAAAGGGATGGTTGCTAAGACTGAGTACTATTTTGAAGTGCGGGAAGAACTGGTTAGACCTATAGTCAGATGATCACTTGACATATTATGATGATCAGAAACGACACAGTATTGATGATAGAGTCCATATGCCAGTGGACTGCATCAATATCCGCACAGGGCATGAGGTTCGGGGTATTCAGCCTCTAGATGGGAAGCCAAAAGCTTGTCTACTTCAGATTGTTTGTCAAGATGGGAAGATGATCAGTCTTTTTGCAGAAAGCACAGATGATTGATTGGCTTGGAAATTTACCTTTCAGGATTCCAGCACAAATACATGGGCATATGGCTCCAGTCCTTACAGTGGTGCATACCTGACAGGAACTCAGATTGTCTACGCTGCGAATGGGCAGGTATATGCAGTGTCTTACCAGTACCTGTATGCAGGACTTTATGGACAGCAGCCTGCCAACCAAATGTTAGTATTTTCCCTAAAGAATTAAAAACATCATATCTCAGCAAGACAGGTATAAATAGACACAGATAAACTGGAGGCATTTATTGCTGAAAGGATGGCTCATCAGACTATACTCTTAAGTGAAATAAGCTGAACACAAAGGTCTTAGTATTACATGTCTTACTGCTGTGAAAAAACTGAAAATGCAAATGAGAACCTAATAGTACAAGAGATATGATGAAATGGGATGAAATTGTTCAAAAGGAAAGGGAAACTAGGGAGAAAGGAATGAAAGAAAAAGAAAAGAAGGATAAAATGGAAATAAACTTTGTAAAGTGGGGGAGAGATTTCAAAGGAGAGGATGGGAATGGTAGAAAAATGTCAAATCAAGAGATATGATGTAGGGGCTGGTGAGATGGCTCAGTGGTCTAAAGCACCTACTTAGAACAAGCTTAGCAAAGCACAGGGACCGCGGTTCAATCCCCCAGCACCACAT